GAAGGGCCCAGAGATTGCCCGGGCGCAGAGGATGGTCGACTCTTGGATGACCGCCATCACGACTGGCGCTAGAGAGGACGATCCCTAGCGCTGCGAGATTGGCCAGAGTTCAGTGGCGGAGAGCCCGCAGTAAGCCAGAGGATGGATGGAGGGTAAGCAAAAGGGCCCACACGGGCCATCATCAGCACCCTCCTGGACCTCGATTGGACCCCCCAAGGGGCCCTGGGATTGAGTTTCAGATCGAGGGGGGCGATTTCGAGCCTCCGAGGATGTTCTGGCACTCGGTGTTTTCGACGCCTCCGGCTTGAAGGAGAGACCCACCGCGATTCGGAGGGGGATGTGGATTGAGAGCAGCGGCGCACTTCGAGAGCGAGGATGTCGAAGGAGGAGTTGATCTCGATGGTGTCCGTCGGGTGCTTGCGGCGGCCAGAAGAGCCAAACATATTCAGTGGGCTGGGGCTTTTCTTGAAGTCGCTCCAGGAGGTCAATGGCCAAAGAGCCGCGTCGCCGAGGTGCGCGCGCCGCCGGAGTTTTCTGCGCAGCGCGACCGGCGCGGAGAAGTGGAGGGGGCGCTTTTCCATAGCGTTTGGGGTTGCAGGTGTAACGAAGAGGTGGCGGCGACGAAGGCTTCGAACTATCTGCCACCTCGAGCTTACACACAGCACGAGGCGCATCCTGCAGTTCGGCTTCGAGGTCGGACCCCGAAGAGTTGGATCGACGCGCCAGACCCTCCCCAGGAGCAGGCAGCATATTTTCTCGTCGGCGCGGGAGATGCTTCAGGCGGACAGCACGCAGAGTCCAGCCTCTTTCGCCGAGTGGCTTTGGCTTACGTTGTGTACCAGCCCTTCTCCCTCGCTAACCCGACTCCCGAGTTGATTTGGCGAAACAGTCGGCAGGGGCAGTTTGGGGCGCCCAGACCATCAATCAGGGAGAATTGCTGGCTGTCCTGAAGTTCTTAGAAAAAGGCCCGCGTGGGCCTACGATTGACCTGCGTCACCGATTCCATGTGCGCGCCCCTGAATTCCCTCGGAGTCGGCAACAACCAGTTCCCGGAGCAGTACGTTGATGAGTGGATCAGGGCCCAGACAGTCATGAATAACATGGAGGTCAGGGCTATCAAAATTGAGGCGCACATGAGCCCCGAGACGGCGCCCTTGAAACGCACGCAGGTTTTCGTTTTTGCATGGAATCATATTGGTGACATATTGGATGACGAAGCAGCCAAGGGAGTTGAATTAGAGCCGGCCTCGTTGGTTTCACACATATGAGCTCGGCCCTCACTAAGGCCGCTCGAGTCAGAGCCACCGAAATTTTCTCGAGTAGGTTCCAGGTGCTCGACGAGAACACCCCTCCCTAGAGCCTGACGACCCATTGGTGAGAGATCCATGCGTAAGCAACGGGCCAAGGCCGCGGCTGGTCTGGCCAAGGGGGGCAAGTTTCAGCGTTCGAGGTCCGAGAGCGCCCACGATTTAATGCCCAGTGAAGGGACTTGATTTTGTTGTTTTCGGTGCCTCTCTGTTGTTTCGGTCAACTCTTATAGTAGTGAACCTGTGCAAGCCTTCTTGTCTTCGGTTTGTGTTCCCGCGGGCCCCTGGAGGGGCCCGGTGTCGGTCCCTGGCACCGGCGCGGTTGAACGAGCCTCCATGAGGGTTTCCCTAGCAAAATTCGCGAAGGATTCATTTTAGTTTGCAACGCCCCGCTCCCGAGGAGCGGCTTTCGGCTCTGAAACGACCACTGGTCAGCATCGGGATCCTCCTCCTCCCCCTCCTTCCTCCTTCTCCCCCTCCTCCCTCCTCCTCCGCCCTCCTCCTCCCCCCTCCTCCTTCCTCCTCCCCCCTCCTCCCTCCTCCTCCTCCTCCTCCTCCTCCTCCTCCTCCTCCTCCTCCTCCTCCCCTCCTTCCTCCTCCTCTCCTCTCCTCCTCCTCCTCCTCCTCCTCCTCCTCCTCCTCCTCCCCTTCCTCCTCCTCCTCTCCTCCTCCATCCTCCTCCTCCTCCTCCTCCTCCTCCTCCTCCTCCTTTCCTCTTCCTCCTCCTCCTACTCCTCCCTCTCCCTCCTCCCTATCCTCCTCCTCCTCCCCTCCTCCTCCTCCTCCTCCTCCTCCTCCTCATCTCATCATCATCATCATCATATCATCATCATCATCATCATCATCATCATCATCCATCATCATCATCATCATCATCATCATCATCATCATCATCATCCTTCTTCTCCTCCTCCTCCTCCTCCTCCTCCTCCTCGTCTGCCTCCTCCTCCTCCTCTTCCTCCTCCTCCTCCTCCTTCCTCCTCCTTCCCCTCCTCCTCCTCCTCCCCTCCTCCTCCTCCGAGGGCAGCAGAGTTCGAGTAGGAGGTGTTGAAGAAGAAGAGCAGCGGCAGAGATGCCGGCGACAAAAAGTACAGCAACCACACCGCGGTGACGTTGGCCGGGACTTGCGCGCAAGTCGGCGAGCAGGGCGGCTCGGAGGAGGAGAGGTTCAGCAGGGCGGCCGAGCAGGACGGCCTGGGCTCGGACAGCGAGGACTGCGGTGCAGAGGGCGGCGAATAGGAGGAGTAGAGGGGAGGAGAGCTCTATGCCGTCTGGGCCGTGCGTCGATCTAGGGAGTACGCGGCCGCGCTGGCGATGCAGGCCGCGAAGGGAGATGGGTGGCGAGGGTGCAGCCGCCGACAGGCGACGCCGAGGCCGCGGGGGTTCCACAGAGGTGGCGGACGCGGAGGCAATGCCGGCGGCGGCTGGGGCGGCGGGCGCCGAGGGGGGGCGCCGCCGTGAAGGTCGCGGGGGCGGCGGACGGGGCCGCGAGGACGGTAAGCAGAAGGCGTGGTGTGTGGTGAGGGGGAGGGCCCCATGCCAGGTAGGGGCGCAGGTGCCTGCCCCGGGGCGAGGTCGCCCCGGGGGCGGCCCCCGTGCCAGGCAGGCGCGCCGCGGGCGGGGGTTGCCCAGGTGCGCTGGGCGACGCGCGCGCAGCGCCTGCGCGCGTCGCCCGCCGCGGTGCACGGGCCAGACCCGCCCGCGGCGACGTGTCAGACCCCCTCAGACCGTCCCCTGCCTCGCCCTCGTCGCCGTCGTCGTTTCCGAGGACCTCGCAGGGTCTTCAACAAAGGCGGCCGTCGTCGTCGTCCTCGAAGTCCTCGAAGTCCTCGTCATTGCGTCGTCGTCGTCATTCGTCGTCGTCGTCGTCGTGGTCGTGGTCGTCGTCGGCGTCGGCGTCGTCGTTGTCGTCGTCGTCCCCGAGGGCCTCGAAGGGCCTCCGTACGCTTCCAGAAGCCTCCAGAGACCTCCCGAAGCTTCTCGAGCTCCGTGGAGATCTCCAGAGGCGGCAGTCGTTGTCATCGTCGTCGTCGTTCTTGTCGTCGTCGTCGCCCTCGTCGTCGTCGTCGTCGTCGTCGTTTTCGTCCTCGTCGTCTTCGTCGTCTTTGCCCTCGCCCTCGTCGTCGACGTCGTTACCGTCGTCGTCGTCGTCGTCGTCGTCGTCGTCGTCGTCGTCGTCGTCATTGTTGCTGTCGGCGTTCTCGTCGTCGTCCCCGTCCTCGCTTTCGTCCTCGTCATCAATTTCGAGGCTTTCGAAGGGCTTCCGGACGCTTCCTAGGCGTCTGGAGGGAGAATTCAAATTTCCACCAATTTTGGAGACCTTTAGCAGCGGCCGTCGTCGACGCCGTCGTCGTCGTAGTCGTCGTCGTTGTCGGCGTTTTTGTTGTCGTTTTTCTCTCTTCCCCCCCTCCTCCTCCTCCTCCTCCTCCTCCTCCACTGCCTTCCTTCTCCTCCTCCTCCTCCCTCCCTCCTCCCCTCCTCCCTCCCCTCCTCCCTCCTCCCTCCTCCCTCCCCCTCCTCCCTCCTCCTCCCCCTCCTCCTCCTCCCTCCTCCCTCTCCCTCCACTCCTCCCTCCTCTCCTCCTCCTCCCTCCTCCCTCTCCCCTCCTCCTCCTCCTCCTCTCCTCCCCTCCTCCTCTCCTCTTGTCCTCCTCGTCTGCTCTCCTCTTCCTCCTCTCCTCCCCCTCCTCCTCCTCCTCCTCCTTCCTCCTCCCCTTTCTCTCCTCCTCCGCCTCTTCTCCTCCTCTCCTCCTCCTCCTCCTCCTTTCTCCTCCTCCTCCCTCTTCCTCCTCCTCCTCCTCATCACCACCATCCTCCGATCCCCCTCCTCCGTATCCTCCTCCTCCTCCTTCCTCCTCCTCGTTTCCTCCCTCCTCCTCCGCCTCCTCTCGTCCTCCCTCCGCCTCTTCCTCCTCACATCCCCTCCTCCTCTCATCTCCTCCGCCTCCTCTCCTCTCCTCCTCCTCCTTCCTCCTCTCCTCCTCCTCCCCCTCCTAATTCATCATCATCATCCTCCTCTTCCTTCTCCTCCCCTCCTCCCTCCTCCCTCCTCCTCCTCCCTCCTCCCTCCTCCATCCTCCCCCTCCCTCTCCCTCCTCCTCCTCCTCTCCTCCTCTCCTCCTCTCCTCCTCCCCTCCTCTCATCCTCCTCCTCTCCTCTCCTCCCTCTCCCTCCTCCTCTTTCCCTCCTCCCTCCCCCTCCCATTTTTTTTTCCCTCCTCCTCCTCCTCCTCCTCCTCCCTCCTCCCTCTCCCTCCTCCCTCCTCCCTCCTCCTCATCCGCTCCTGTCCTCTCCTCCTCCTTCTCCTCCGTCCTGTTCCTCCTCCTCCTCCTCCTCCTCCTCATCCTCCTCCTCCTCCTCCTCCTCTCCTCCTCCCCCTCCTCCTCCTCCTCCTCCTCCTCCTCTCCTCCTCTGAGCCTCCCTCCCCGACGCCTCGAGCACCGTTTGGGATACACCCCTCGAAACCCGAGGGATACGGCCCACATCCCCATCTGGGGGGGCAGATCGGCCAGCGGGGCCCGGCCCACGCTGGTGGGGACGGGGATCGGCGGAACGATACTCAGTTGGGCCTTCGAGGCCTCCGTGGGCTCCGAGGGCCTCGCGGCGCCTTCCGCTCCGGGCGGCCCCACCCCCCCGGGCGCCCGGGCGGCGCGCACCGCCCCCCTCCCTCCCCCCCGGCGGGCGGCCCGCGCAGGCGGGCGGCCTCGCAGGCCAGGTCGGACGCCGAGGACGGGCTCGGGCGCCCCCTGCGGGGGCGGACAGAGCCCCCGCCGCGCTGACGTCGGAGGAGGAACAAGGTACCCCTATACCCCCTCTCCTCCCCTCGTGTTCCCCTCTTTGGGGGGCCTCCTGGGCCTCCGCCGTCGCCACCGCTGGATTCGCCTCGAAATCCTGGTCACAACGCACCCCGAGGGAGGTGCGGGGAGTACCGGTATCGGTACCTTTTGGTCTCCCCATGTGGAGACCAAAAGGTACCGATACCGCTGTTATTCAATCGCTTCGCTCACTCCGCCGGCCCGTATTGCATGATCGCTACTGCTTCGGCGCGGGCTCGGGGCCATTTCGGCGCCGCCGGAAGGAGGAAGATGAGGATGGGGAGGGGGAGGGGAGGAGGAGAAGAGGATGACAAGGAACGGAGGAGGATGAAGAGAAATATGAGGAAGAGGAGGAAGAGAAAAGGGCGGAGGAGGAAGCCTCTCGATGGCATCTTGCGGCGCTCTTGGGGCCAAACAGGGCCGTCGTCCAGATGCTGCTTTGGGAGGCCCTGGGGTCTGTTGAGAGGCCGTTCGGGGGCGCCTGGGAGACATTTTTGAAGCCTTGCAGGGCCTCTTTTGAGCCTCCTTGGAGCCTCCTGGGGTCTCTTGGGGGCCTCTTGGCGGCTTCTTGGGCCATCTTGGGGGCCTCTCGGGGCCTCCTGGGGCCCTCTTGGGGCGGAAGGCTTGAGGTTTCGGTGCGTGGTCCCCATCTTGGGCCCCTCTTGGGGCCGTCTTGGGGCTCTCTTGGGCCGTCTTGGGCGTCTCTTGGGCCGTCTCGGGGCCCGTTTGGGCTCTCTGGGGGCCTTCTTGGGGGCCTCTTGAGCCGTCTTCGTGCGCTCTTGGGGGCCTCTTGGGCCGTCTTGGAGCACCGGAAAACCGAAAATGCGACAAGGCCAAAATCCTTCCAAAACCAGCGTGAAATTTATGATTTTGGCCTCTCGGGGCGCTCTTGTGAGGCCTCTTGGAGGCCACTTGGAGCGTCTTGGCGGCTTCTTGGGCCGTCTTGGGATCATCTTCGGCGTCTTGGAGCGTCCTTTGGGCGTCTCGGGGGCCTCTTGGGCAGTCTTGGGGGCCTCTTGGGGCCCTCTTGACGCGCTCTGGGGGGCCTGAGAGGCCGTACCCAGGAGGAAAACCATCTCTGAGTAGACCTTCCTGGGACCTTCCCGGGACCTTCCCGGGCTGCGGTCGGGGTACTTTTTGCTAGGGGACCCCCAGGGGCCGCCCCGCGCGCCCGAACTGGAAGAATTGTGAACCAGTTACCGGAGATCTTAGCACGCCTCTGGCCCGTTGGGCCGGCGAATTCAGAATGAGTCGTGCATGACCTGTCGATTATTAGTTACATGTCCGCTTTCGGTTCTCGAGGGGGCGCTGTGGCCGTCGTGTTCCAGGCTTGCGCCCGCCAGGTCTGGACCCGAGGTGCCCGACCCCCAGAGGAGGAGGAGGAGGAGGAGGAGGAGGAGGAGGAGGAGGAGGAGGAGGGGGAGGACGAGGAGGGGGAGGACGAGGAGGAGGAGGACGAGGAGGAGGAGGACGAGAGGAGGAGGAGGACAAGGAGGAGGAGGATGACGAGGTCGTTTTCAAAGAAGAACTACGTTTTGCTACAAAGGGGGCTATGTCCATCCCCGACCCTTGAAGAGCGCCGCGAGGGCCAAGGTGGAGGCCATGTCGAGAAGGAGATCGGCGACTGAACTGATGTGTTCCAAAGTTGCTGTCTTGTCGAATCTACACGAACGAACAAGTAGGTAGTATGCTCCGTAGAACTACGGAGCATGCAACGTGTCGTTTTACACACTCGGCGGATCAGCGATTCTCGGGTAAATCAATGCTGCAGTCGATCTCCTACTCGAACTCTGCTGCCCTCGGAGGGAGCGCCGCGACTGCCAAGGCGGAGGTTATTTAATCGCTTCGCTCATTCCGCCGGCCCATACAGTCGCATGTCTGCCGTTTGCCTGAGGGCCTGGTGTCAATGCGGCGCTTTGGGGGTTCCTGGGGCCGCTTGGGGGACTCCTGGGGCGCTCGGGGGGGCATTTGGGGGACTCTTGGGGGCCTCCTGAGGGCCCCGTGGGGGCCTCTTGGGGCCTCTTAGGGGCCTCGTAGGGGCTTCTTAGGGCCGAGGGCTCGAAATGTTGTTTCGTGTTCCCTCTCTGGGGCCCCTTTGGGGGCGTTCTTGGGGCCCTCTTGGACCGTTTTGGAGGCTTCTTGGGCCGTCTTCGAGCCCTCTTGGGCCATCTTGGGGCCCTCTTGGGTGCCTCTTGGGCCCTCTTGGGGCGATCTTGGGGGCCTCTTGGGCCGTCTTGGGGCGTCGGGAAGCCGAAAAGGTGGAAGCTCCAAAATCTCTCAAAAACCTATGGAAAAACAATGATTTTTGCCTCCGGGGGCCCTATTGGGAGTGCTCTTGGAGGCCTCTTGGGGCGTCTGGGGGCTATCTTGGGCGTCTTGGAGCGATCTTGTGGCATGTCGGACCCCTCGTGTACCATCTTGGGGGCCTCTTGGGGGCCTCTTGGCCTTTCTTGGGGCTCTCGGGGACGTCTCGGAGCCCTGTTGGTGCGCTCATGGAGCGCTCGGGGGGACCCGGCCGGGACCCGGCCGGGACCCGGCCGGGACCCGGCCGGGGACCGGCCGGGACCTGGTCGGGGTACTTTTCGTCCGGGGACCCCCAGGGGCCGCCCCGCGCGCGCGAACTAGAAAATTGTTAACCAGTTACCGGAGATCTTAGCACGCCTCTGGCCCGTTGGGCCGGCGAATTCCTCTCGCTTCGCGGGGTGCACGTCCGGAGCACGTACAGTCCAGTCGTTGCGGTGCCTTTTAGAGCTTCTTTGTGGCCTCTTGGAGGTGTGTTGGAGACTTCTTGGGGCCTCTTCTGCACTGGGCTTCTTTGAGGCCTCTTGGGGCCTCCTGGAGGCGTCTTGGGCCGTCTCTGGGCGCTCTTGCGGCGTGTGGCCCATTTGGAGGCCGGTGTTTAAAATGCGCGCGGTGCTCAGCAGTGTTTATGCGAGAAGCGGCGCACAGCTCCCAGCGTGACAAGGCAGACTTGCTCTGCCCCGCTTGCTGGCGGGCAGAGTAGGCGCCACGAAGCCGATCCAGACTGGTAATCGCCGCTGTGCGAGTGCTCAAATGTGGAAGGTGTGGGCGTTGGTTGGCGTGACCTGCTTGGCTGCCGCGCGTGCGTGCCGCTCCGTCCTGCCATCCGCAGGGCTTCCGGGCGGCCTCATGGGGGGCTCTTGGGAGCCTCTTGAAAGCCTCGCGGGGGGTTCTTGTAGCGTCTTTGGGGCCGTTTTGGGGCCACTTGGGGCTTCTTGTTGACGTCTTGCGCAGGCTTGGGGCGCTCTTGCGCCGTCCGGCCCCAGCGGAGGCCATCTTGGAGGCCTCTCGCGGCCGTCTTAGGGCTCTCTTGGGGTCCTCTTGGGCCGTCTTGGGGGCCCCTTGGACCGTCTTGGGGGCCTCTTTGGGCCGTCTCGGGGCCCTCTTGAGCAATTCTGGGGCCCCTTTGGGGGCCTCTTTGGCCGTCTTGGGGTCTTCTAGGAGGTTGCTTGAGCCGTCATGGTCCTTTGAGAGCCGAGAAAAGCGAGAACGCTAACATCTTCCAAAAACTAACGGCAAATCAATGATTTTGGCTCTCTTTCGAGTCCTCTTGGGGCCCCCTTGAGCCGTCTTGGGGGCCTCATGAGCCCTCTTGGGACCATCCAGTGCCGCCTTGGGGCCGTCCTTTGGGTCCTCTTGAGGCCCTCTTGGAGTCCCAAGAGGCCCAAGAGGCCGAATTCGTTGATTTCTCAATGGCTTTTGTAGGTTTCGAGACCCAGAATGAGAGCCTCCAGATCTGGTACGGGGGAGCGGCGCGACTCCAAGGGGGTTTCGGGGGGAAGACATAATCTTTAAACCCATACGATATGCGGCAGTATACCACGATGGGATACATTTGGTACCTTGCAGCATCGCCTCCGCAGGGAAGGCTGCCGCTCAGCACGTCACTTCCGGACGTGGATCTCGGTGGAACCCGGGAGGTAGGCCTACCCTAGGCCTACCCATAGGCCTACCCCCTAGGCCTACCTTAGGCCTACACCCTAGGCCTACCCCCTAGGCCTACCCTAGGCTTGCCCCTAGGCCTACCCCCTAGGCCTCCCCTAGGCCTACCCCCTAGGCCTACCCTAGGCCTACCCCTAGGCCTACCCGCCGTCCCCAGCAGAGAAACGAAGTCCACGGGCGAGGCGTAATTTCTGCCTCCCGGGAGCCGCCTGGCGGGCCTGCCGGGGGGCATGTCTTTTGGGCCTGTGGCCGCCTCGTCGGGGTCTGTCGGGAGACCTCTGGGGGGCGGAGGGCCCGAAGTGGAAGCTCGAGCTCCCCCTGTGGGGCCCCTCTTGGGGCTCTTTGGGAGCCCTCTCGGGTCGTCTTTGCCTCCTCCTCCTCCTCCTCCTCCTCCTCCCCCTCCTCCTCCTCCTCCTCCTCCTCCTCCTCCCCCTCCTCCCCGCCTCTGGGGCCACTCTGGGGCTCTATTGGGCCGTCTTGGGGCCTTCTTGAAGGGGCCTCTCGGGTGGAGCGATCTCTTGGGGCCCATCGAGCCGCTTTGGACGCTGTTGACACCAAAACGGTGGACATGCTAAGCAAAACATTTTTTTTTGGAGGTGGGGCGGTGTTGGCCGTTGGGGGCCTTCTTGGTTGTCCTCTTGGAGCTCTGGGGACGTTTTGCATCTGGGATAGACTTGAGGCTCTCTGGGCTGTTTTCGAGACCTCCTTGGCGTGTTGGAGCCCACCTTGAGTGCGCTCAGCTGGAACCATATCCTGGGCATTTTGAGGCAACGGGGTGTAGAAGTGAAGGCTCTGGAGGCCCCAGGGAGCGCTGAGAAACCTGGAGAACCTCCACGCCCCGCCTCCCCCCCCCAAGCCCCCTTTTTTATGACGCTGCATGTTCAAACTCATGGGGATGATTGTATCAGCGAAGCCAATAGTACGCACTCGAGATCATAAAGCAACCATGTACTACGACATCTGAGTTTCGGCGCTCCGGCGCCCCCGCCGAGCTCTTAGAGGGCCGCCCCCCGCGGCGCACATCGGCGCCTGTCCTGTCCTGTCTGTCCCCCTCCCCGAGCCCCACCTCGAACCGGATTTCAGGCCCCAGGGGAGGACAGCCAATCATCTCACTGGCCTCTGCACCCCTGGCAGGCGTGGGTCGGCGGATCCTCGGGACAATCGGAGTGCGTACGGAAAGAACGGGTACGAAGATTGACGGTTGTTCTTGCCCATTTTGGACAGGACTCGCTGTCGATGTCGCCGCGGACGTTGTCCAATTTAGACAGAAGACCGCCGCCCGCCCAACACCTGCCATCCTCGGTTTGGGACAATATGTGTTCTGTTGGGCATCCATCTCTCCGCACCCAGTCATGGCGTCCAAAAACCAGGAGTCCCAGCGGCGGATGCTGTCCTCAGCTTTGGGCTTCGGGGGCAGCGGGCCCCGGGGTCGCCAAGAAGCTGCGCAGGATGGAGCGGCCCAAGGACGAGGTGGTCAAGGCTTCCAGGGACCCCGCACCGAGCCAACCACTGCAGTGGAGACCCCTGCCAAGACACACCCTGCTTGCCTCCAGGGTGCCCGGGGCTTCTTGGGTTCCGATGGCGCTGCCACGGGAAGCGCGACGTTCCCACGCCAAAAAATCGATGGACGTCTTGGGGTCTCAGGGGTGGGTTTCCTGTGCAAGGTTTCTTGTGGTCGGGCCCCTGCTGTGCATTGGATGACGGGCCTGTTTTCCACCACCACCACCATAAGTTGGAGGGGGGAAGGAGGCGGAGGACGAGGAGGAGGAGAACGAGGAGGAGGAGGAGGAGGAGGATCCCCTCTCCCTCCAACTCATGGTGGTGGTGGTGGAAAACAGGCCCATCATTGGATCCCTGAGCGTTCTCGCGCCGAGCGGCCCCGCGGCCCCGCGCCCTCCGGGACCCCCGGCGTCGCCGCCGGCGCACTCGAGAAACGGGGCTGGAGGGTCGGGGTCTGCGCCGGCCTCGGGGAGGCCTCGCGTCGCCACGGCCGGATTGCCTCCGGCACTCTGGCCAGAGCACGCCCGGGGAGAGGCCCAGGGGCGGACGCTCTTCCCCCCCCAGGCACCTGAGCCCACGCACCCGTTGCGTCGCGAGCAAGAGCACGGCGGGGGGTTCTTGTCAGCCATGGCCTGCCTCTGCGGGCCCGCGGTCGTCACGAGATGAGTTGGGATGCAGTGCTGGTCCCGGGGGAGGGGTCGGGAACTCCTGCGAGTCGTGTCACGAACGAGCAAAATCTTCGGGGGTCGGTGGGGGGGCTTCGTGTTCACGCACGCAGAAGCACCCGAACTCATGGAGTGCAACCTCGAAGTTCTTCATCTCCCTCCTGATGAAGTAGCCCTGCCCTGCCTGTTGAAGGTCTTCGGGGGTCGGTTCTTGGTTGGCATGCCTTCGGGGGCCCTCCTTGTCGCAACGGCGGGATGCGGCTTGGGGAGCGGACCAGGACGGGCCCTGGGACATTTTCAGAGGGAGATTTTCAGCCAGTTTTCGGCGGCGAGCGGGGGGGTAGAAGTGAGAAGGGGCCGGCCTTCTGAGAAGGCTCGGAAGTCCTCCGGCCTTCTGAGAAGTTTTCTAAGCTTTCTCTGGAGACAAACGAAACTTCTCAGAAGGCGCGAGGGCTTCTGAGAAGTCCCGCCGCCTTCCGAGAAGGCCTTCTCCTTCTCACTTCCCCCCTCGCTCGCCGCCGAATTTTGGCCTCCGGCCCTGGCGATTCGACACGCATCACGCCAGCAGTGCTTCTGTATCTTCGATCTCCGTTGGGTGCTCCGGGGGCCTCGGGGTCGTCAGCAGACGGGCACGGACGGGTCGGGACGAGCAGCTCTTCCCGCATCGCAGAAGTGTCGGTGACGCTCAGGACGCGGATTATCCGACTATATGTTCACCTCGTTCGGCCCCCACTGCTTTGGCGGCGCCGTCCTGGAGGGCTTCGGTGGACGAGCACACGCTGGCGCTCACACGCCTTCCGAGAACCATCTGCCGAGGGTCTCGATTCGGAGCGCCGCGAACCGAACACGCGACGGCGTGTGTATTGACATTGTTTTTGTGCTGCGATTCGACCGCGTCAGCGTCCGCTCTCGCAAAGTGTCGACGCGGGCCTCGGGGCCCTCGTAGAGCTGCTCTGCCTGAGAAAGCCCGCGTCGGGAGTTCTGGTAGTGGTCTTGCCCAACCCCGACGTCGGGGCCTGTTGGCCACCCGGAGGGATCTCAAGGGCCAGGGGGGGCGGGGAGAAGTACAGCAGCCCCCCTGGGGCATCGACAGGAGTAGACCCGTTGGCATTTGGCGTGTTTGATGGTTTTTGTTTGGCACGCGGTGGAGTTGCTCGCCGGAGAGGGAGCGGAAGGGGGAGGACGACAAGGCGAAGGGAGGGGAGAATGAGGAGAACCTCCCTCTCTCATCCTCCGTCTCCTCCCTCGCCCCTGCCTCCCCCCTCAGCCAGCCCCCTTGTCGTTCCCCCCTTCCGCCCCGTGCCGCAGGACACGCTGCCGCCCACCCCAGAGGCCTCCTCGCAGCTCCCTCACGACTGCCTGTTTGCTGTTGGCCTGGCGCTGCCTTTTCCGTTCTGCCAGCCTCTGCCCGCGTGCCCTCGCCCCCCGCCGCTTTGCGTGATGAAGGCTGGCCCGAGGTTCGGGGATCGAGCAGGTCAAACCTACTCCAGATTTCGTAATGAAAGGGAGGGGGTCTGGACCCTCCAAGACAAGCCATTTCAGACCCCCCCCCGTGGGAGAACCCTCCAAAACATCGTCCCCAGACCCCCCCAGGCCCTCCAAGATAGCCTGGAAGAGACCCCCCCCGAAATGAGACCCCCCTCCCTTTATTACGAAATCTGGAGTACCCAGGGTGGAGCCGAGCAGGGGTCCTGGGACCGACTCTGAGCGGATGTGGTGGGTTCCCGCCGCGTTGGCGTGGCGGCGCCCCTTGCGCGGGCGCCCAAGTTCGAGCGTCGCTGGTTGCCCAGCGTCGGCCGGCGTCGAGCGATTCCCGCTATCGAGGATCTGTGATCGGTCAAGCTTGAACGATGCACGCGGCGTCAGGGTGCAACGCCGACCGTCGTCACTACGTGAAGTTGTCCTGTGCGCAATATTCCTTGCATCCTGGTCTTCCGATACGTACACACAGCCAGGCACCCTATGCTCATGGTTATGACGAAATATGTGTTTCTCTCTATGTATATAGATACTCATATGTATTATATATATATATATATATATATATATATCAGAGTAGGGCCCCGGGGCGGTGCCTGTCATCTCCATGGGGTGTGCAGGGCGCCCCCGGGAGCGTCCGAAGCGTCCCGGTGGGCCCCTGGGACCGCCAGGAACAGTTCGAGACCGCCCAAGACGGCCCGCGAGCGCTCCAAGACGCGCATAGATAGCCTCAGGAATGGCCAGGAAGGCCCGAATACGTTCCAAGAGAGCTCCATGAGGCCCCGAAGGCATCCCAAGAGGCCTCCCAAGAGAGCCCCGACAAGCCAAAATCGTTGATTAGTATAGTTTTTTTTCGAGGTTGTTGGCCTTCTCGCTTTTTCGGGGTTCCGACGCTCCAAGGCCGCCCAAGAGTCTCCCAAGACCGCTTCAAGACGGCCGAAGAGGCCCCCAAGACCGCCCCAAGACGGCCCAAGAGACCCCCAAAATCGTCCCACGACGGCCCAGGAGAGCCCCAAGATGGCCCAGGAGCCGCCCAAGACGGTTCCAGGAGTGCCCCGACAGGGCTTCAAGACTGCCTAAGCGAGCCCAGCGGTCCCCAAGAGGGCCCCGCGAGGCCCCAAGAGGCCCCAAAGAGGCCCCCAAGAGCCTCCCCGAAGGCCCCCAGAAGCCCCCAAGAGGCCCAAAAATTGCCCTTAGCGCGCCCCAGGACGCCTCCAGGAGAGCCCCACAGGCCTCCGAGAGGCCCCCCAGAGGCCCACTGGGGGCCCTCAGAAGGTCGTCCCCATCATGTTCCCGGAAGGCGGTCCGGGAACATGATTCCGCGCCTTGGAGGAGTATTCTGCGCTTTCCGAGGCGCCTTCCGAGGCGCCCTGGACGACGCACTATGTTTCTATAGATTGTCCATCTCCTGTGTACACAATCCTACATGTATTACGGAGTACTCTGCGCTTTCCGAGGCGCCTTCCGAGGTGCCGCCTTCGACGAGTTACTACGTTTCTTGATAGATTGTACATGCTCCTGTGTACACAACCTACATGGTCATGACGTATGCTCATATATTTATATGATGTAATATATATATATATAATATATATATATCATGTAGTAAGGTACATGAGTGCGTGCATGGAGTATGTATGTATGTATGTATGTATGTATGTATGTAGTATGTATGTATGTATAGATATGTATAGATATGTATATATATATATATACATACACACACACCTCCCCCAAGCCCTCCCGAGTCGTGCCACTTCCTTCCATGTATTTCAAATTCTTCCCTCTATATATATATATGTACATACATACATACATACATACATATATATATATACACCTACATATATATATATATACGCCCCAAGACGCCTCCAGGAGAGCCCAACAGGCCTCCGAGAGGCCCCCAAGAGGCCCACTGGAGGCCCTCAGGAGGTCGTCCCCATCATGTTCCCGGAAGGCGGTCCGGGAACATGATTCCGCGCCTTGGAGGAGTATTCTGCGCTTTCCGAGGCGCCTTCCGAGGCGCCTTGGACGACGTACGTATGTTTCTGTAGATTGTCCTTCTCCTGTGTACACAATCGTACATGTCTTACGTATGTTTCTATATATATATATGTATATATACATAATATATATATATATATATATATATAAGAGGCCCACTGGAGGCCCTCAGGAGGTCGTCCCCATCATGTTCCCGGAAGGCGGTCTGGGAACATGATTCCGCGCCTTAGACGAGTATTCTGCGCTTTCCGAGGCGCCTTCCGAGGCGCCTTGGACGACGTACGTATGTTTCTATAGAGTGTCCTTCTCCTGTGTACACAAACCTAAATGTCTTACGTATGTTTTCTATATATATGTATATGTATATATACATATATGTATATGTATGTGTAAATGTGTATATATATACACATATATATACACATACATACCCCTCCCCCAAGCCCTCCCGAGTCGTGCCACTTCCTTCCACGCATTTCAATTTCTTCCGTGTATACATATATATATATATATATAAATGTATATGTGTGTATATATGTATATATGTAGATATGTTTGTATACACACATATATATATATATATATAGGCCGTCCAAGAGTCTCCAAAAACCGCTCCAAGACGGCCGAGGAGGCCCCCAAGACCGTCCCAAGACGGCCCAAGAGACCCCCAAAATCGTCCCAAGACGGCCCAGGAGAGCCCCAAGATAGCCCAGGAGCCGCCCAAAACGGTTCCAGGAGAGCCCCGACAGGGCTTCAAGACTGCCTAAGCGAGCCCAGCGGGCCCCAAGAGGGCCCCGCGAGGCCCCAAGAGGCCCCAAAGAGGCCCCCAAGAGCCTCCCTGGAGGCCCCCGAGAGGCCCCCAAGATGCCCAAAAATTGCCCTGAGCGCGCCCCAAGACGTTTCCAGGAGAGCCCCACAGGCCTCCGAGAGGCCCCCAAGAGGCCCACTGGAGGCCCTGAGGAGGTCGTCCCCATCATGTTCCCGGAAGGCGGTCCGGGAACATGATTCCGCGCTTTGGGGGAGTATTCTGCGCTTTCCGAGGCGCCTTCCGAGGCGCCTTGGACGACGTACGTATGTTTCTATAGATTGTCCTTCTCCTGTGTACACAATCCTTCATGTCTTACGTATGTTTCTATATCTCTCTCTATATATATATGTAAGAGGCCCACTGGAGGCCCTCAGGAGGTCGTCCCCATCATGTTCCCGGAAGGCGGTCCGGGAACATGATTCCGCGCCTTGGAGGAGTATTCTGCGCCTTCCGAGGCGCCTTGGACGACGTACGTATGTTTCTATAGCTTGTCCTTCTCCTGTGTACAGAATCCTACATGTCTTACGTATGTTTCCATATATATATATATGTATATATATGTATATGCATGTATGTATGTATGTATGTATGTATGTATGTATGTATGTGTGTGTATATATATAGACATATCGGAGTCGGGCCCGGGGGCGGCCCGGGGCGGTGCCTGTAATCTCCATGGGGGGTGCATGGCGCCCCTGGGAGCGTCCGAAGCGTCCCGGAGGGCCCCTGGGACCGCCAGGAACAGATCGAGACCGCCGAAAACGGCCCGTGAGCGCTCCAAGACGCGTATAGGTAGCCTCAGGAATGGCCAGGAAGCCCCGAAGACGTTCCAAGAGAGCTCCATGAGGCCCCGAAGGCATCCCAAGAGGCCTCCCAAGAGAGCCGCGACAAGCCAAAATCGTTGATTATTATTGTTTTTTCTAGGCTTTGGGCCTTCTCGCTTTTTCAGGGTTCCGACGCTCCAAGACCGTCCAAGAGTCTCCCAAAACCGCTCCAAGACGGCCGAAGTGGCTCCCAAGACCGCCCCAAGACGGCCCAAGCGACCCCCCAAATCGTCCCAAGACGGCCCAGGAGAGCCCCAAGATGGCCCAGGAGCCGCCCAAGACGGTTCCAGGAGAGCCCCGACAGGGCTTCAAGACTGCCTAAGCGAGCCCAGCGGGCCCCAAGAGGGCCCCGCGAGGCCCCAAGAGGCCCCAAAGAGGCCCCCAAGAGCCTCCCCGGAGGCCCCCAGAGGCCCCCAAGATGCCCAAAAATGGCCCTGAGCGCGCCCCAAGACGCCTCCAGGAGAGCCCAACAGGCCTCCGAGAGGCCCCCAAGAGGCCCACTGGAGGCCCTCAGGAGGTCGTCCCCATCATGTTCCCGGAAGGCGGTCTGGGAACATGATTCCGCGCCTTGGAGGAGTATTCTGCGCCTTCCGAGGCGCCTTGGACGAAGTACGATTCATATTCTTGAACGCTTTCCGGGAACATGATTTCTCACCAGTTCGGAACGCTTTCCTACTGCTGCGGTGCTCTGGGGGGAAGGGACGGGGGTCCGGGAACATGATCGGGAGGTTAGGGAACGAGGGTTTGGAGAGGAGCAGTAGGACAGACGGACGGGGCCCGGGGGCGGGGTGGGGTGGTGCCACCGGTTGGCATGGCCGCCCCGGGCGTCCTGTGGGGTCCACGAACCCGCCCAAGACGGCCCATGAGGCCCCAAAGACAGCCCAAGAGACCCACAAGACAGCCTCAGCGAGGCCCAAGAGGGCCCCAAGACGCTCAAGCGCGCCCCAACAGGGCCCGAGATGGCTTGAAGATGGCCGAAGAGGGCCCCAAGAGGGTCTTCAAGAGGCAAACACCGGCCCATTCCCATTCGTAAAGCATGCATTTTCAGCATACTCGTTTGCTTGGTCCTCACAGTGCCCCAGACGCCCCCGAGCCCCAAGACAGCCCAAGAGAGACCCAAGAGGGCCCACGACGGCCCAAACGGGTCGTCCTGTGAGTCTCACGGAACCCCCCAAAGACGGCCCAAAAGGCCCCAAAGCCGGCCCAGAAGGCCC